GTTTGTCTGCAGAGGAGCGAGATAATCTCTCTGACGCGCATGATGCATCTACCCATGGCCCACCCAGTCCCGATCTAAAGATATATGCAAGCGAAGGGCGCCAGCCGCCTGATGGCCTAACCGAACCGCAGGTCTTACCCGCAAAATGCCACACCACCCACCGAGTCCTGAATCCTAGCCATCCACAGCACAGCACAGTACAGTACTTCATTCCCCAAGTTCCCGTGTAACTTGACATTCTGTCTTGGTTCGATCTTGGCGTCTATTCTATAGGACCTGCTTACGGAGGGAGACATTGAGTATTGATAAGTGTGTGTGACCTTTGGTCTGTGCATCCCCGCGCTCAGTTCCCCTCCACCCCACCCCCTCCACCCTTCACTATTAAAAAGGAAGCATCAGTCCAGACAACACGATCGGGATTACTGACCTCCACTCTGCTCGCGACAGGAGCAATGCCACGCAGCAAGGAATAATACGAGTAGGAGGGGGAAGGGAAGGTTAAGCATAAGCCGTAGCGTGAATCTTACACCCCACCTACCTGATTTCAACCTGTATTTCATGCCATATTGAATACGACTAGGGTTTGAGGGGGATGAAGTCATGCATACATACCACATCCAGTATCCTGGAATCTTGGAATTTGGGATGGGCGAGAAGACGGGGAGGGGGAAGCGGGCGTGGCGTCCGGTACCTACCTAGTAATGTCTACTCGTCGCTATCGTTAACCCACCCCTTATCAGGGGTTGGTCGCCTCCACCTCACGAATAATCCCACCTCAAGAATAACGAAAAACACATACTAATCCTACTTTTTCAATCACGTATAACTTTGTTAAGTTAAAGAATTAGGCTTTACTATTTTAGGAAGAGATAGAAGTAATAATATATAAGAGATTAATCTTAAAAATAACAGACACTTTCTAACTATATCTTCTATAATAATTAGAAAACTTAAAATGCCTGAGATTTCAGGCATCGTTTTGACTATTTCTCTTAATATACAATATTTTAAGAAAAAGAAAAGATAGATATATAATTCCAGAGATAAAAGATGTAATATTTCAATCTTAAAAGCCTAATTCTTTATATTAACAAAGCCATACGTGATTAAAAAAGTAGGATTAGTATGTGTTTTTCGTTATTCTTGAGGTGGGATTATTCGTTAGGTGAAGGCGAACCTCCACCTGCGGTGGAGGGGCGCCGCAGCGACGAGTACCTTATTTACCAAGGGTGTGGGTTCGGGCTTATTCGGAGATGATTCAGAGCCACTTGCTTTGAACTCCGTCGAAGAAACTACTACGAACGAAACAAAACCTTTATTTTTTTTAATCTTGGATATTTCATTCAGTTGATAGCATATCAATCTTGGTAAAGTACATGGTAAGGAAAGAGAAACAGGGGGGGCATCATTAAACTTGCTTGGTATCAAACAAGAGCGACAAGGGGTCACAAAAGCAAGCGCACGTAGGCAGGCATATCAACGGGTCATAACATCATCATTAGGTGAGAACACAAATGAAGGGATCGAGAGATAAAGCGATTTCTTCAACTTTTCCCCAACATCTCCTCTTCTTTATGTCTTTGCATCTCTCTAAGTGTCTCTCTTGCTGGATCAACTTAGAACCCACGCTGAGTACCAAGGGTGCCACGGTTGTCCAAGTCGGAGTCCACGCGGGGATCCATCTTGTTGGCCATGTCAGAGCGGTGGGGGCCGGCGGTGGCTCCAGTGTTGTAGCTGCTGCTGGCCATACCCTGGTGACGGGCGCGGTTGTCGAGGTCGGAGTCGATGCGAGGGTCGGCCTTGTTCATCATGTTGGAGCTGTGAGGGCCGGCGTTGGTGCTGCCGCCGCCGAAGCCGGTGGTGGTGGTGGAGGTGGTCGGGCCGGCACCGTAGCCTGCGGCACCGGTGGAAGACCCGTAGGCGCCGGGACCGGTGGGGGCTCCGCCGTAAGCAACGCCGGTCGAGGTGGTGGAGTAGTGGTGAGCAGCACGGTTGTCACGGTCCGAGTCGACGCGGGGGTCCATCTTGTTGGCCATGCTGGACGAGTGGGGGCCCTGGGCGCCGCCGAGGGCTTCGTGGCGAGCACGGTTGTCGCGGTCAGAATCAACGCGAGGGTCGGCCTTGTTCATCATGTTGGAGCTGTGGGGACCAGCGTTGGTGCTGCCGCCGTAGCCAGCGCCAGTAGAGGTGGTAGAGTGGTGAGTGGCACGGTTGTCACGGTCCGAGTCGACGCGAGGGTCCATCTTGTTGGCCATGCTGGACGAGTGAGGGCCCTGAGCGCCGCCGAGGGCTTCGTGGCGAGCACGGTTGTCGCGGTCAGAGTCAACACGGGGGTCGGCCTTGTTAGCCATGTTGGAGCTGTGAGGACCAGCGTTGGTGCTGCCGCTGTAGCCACCAGCAGTGGTGCTGCCACCGTAGCCGGCTCCGGTGGTAGTGGAAGTGGGGTGAGCGCGGTGGTCACGGTCAGAGTCGACGCGAGGGTCAGCCTTGTTGGCCATGTTGGACTCGTGAGGGCCCTGGGCACCGCCCATGGCCTCGTGGCGAGCACGGTTGTCTTGAGAATGGCACGTTAGCACGAACTCTTTCTCCGTAAGGCTTCGCTGTCTACTTACCAGCATCACTGTCGACGCGAGGGTCCAACTTGTTGGCCATCTTGGAGTTGTGAGGACCGTGGTTGTCGGAGGAAGTGTTCTCGGTCTTATTCTCGTGGTGGTGACCGGTGACCACGTCCTTGACCTTGTGGATGATGTTCGACATGATGGATGATTTCAGTTGATAGATGTAGAGAAGTGATGTAGAGGAATGTGGTTGGTGTTTGTTGGATGTTGCTTTGGTTGTAGTGTTTGTTGTGATAGTTGGATAGTTGGAGATGTCCTGGAGATGGATTGAAGCTGAATTTGGGAGGCTTATATACCTTGTTGCCTGGGGGGAGAAACGAGGTGGACAGGACATATGACGTAAGGCTACGTAGTTAGTTACTAAGGCTGGTGAATACCACGCACCACCTTTACGAATTGAGCCTTGGTACAACTGTTTGTTTGACTTGTGAATTCACCAGAGGCCGGCGAGGACATGACGTCGTAATGTGCTAATCGATGGTCAGCCCTAGATCGGCAGTTTCTGGTCGACGCCAGGCAGTTTTGCATGTCTATCATCCCGTCCGAAATTCAACACTTCAGGCAAGCCTCGACCCGCCGCGGGAAAGGGGGGAGGGGGTATCCGTCTGTCCAGTCAAGATGGAGTATCTGGTCTGGGCACCATACGTCTGGGAATCTGGAGCAATTGCGTGTGGGGCAGGAACAGCTTAAACTATGAGTAGGTAGGGTGCGTAGGAGACAGCACCTGGCAGCTTCAGCATAGTAAGGGACCAAAAGGTCAATTCTCACTACGTAGTATGAGTATAATTAGTACTAGTACTAGTAGTAAGGCTGGGCTGGCCATCAAAAAGCCGGTTGCGCATTGCCGATCATGACTTCAGCCCAGCCGGCCCTTGATGTCGGCGGCGTATTGAGTGAGTCTGGTGATTGGTGTGAGAGGTCTGGCATTTGCGGGGGGCACACACTGATTGGCTGGTGCTGCGGGAAGCCGCTCCATTGCCCCTTCCCCGATCCGTACAAGCTTCATCTGGAAATCTAAATCAGGCAAGGCGTCTCTGGCTCAGCTCCATCCAGCCTAGAGGAAGGCTTAGTCATTCCCAGTCCGTCCGACCCTCCCTCAACGGCCACTCTCCGAGCCCTCACCACGGAACCATAGGTCATCCTGAAGATCTTCATCAAACCACAAGCAATTCTAATTATAAGTTATCCCTTGACTACATAACGAGTATGTACAATACACTTGTCGATCATGAATTCATGTCCTGCAGGCATCCATAGTCATCACCTTGCCTGCCTACATCACTGATTGCCCTGACCCAACGACAGCCAGTTTCCCTCGTTGGCAGCATGATGCAAGATCATCAAACCACTCAGGAAAGTGACGAGATCTCATCATGGTGGTCCAAAGACGGACTGGACGGCAATTGATCGAACCATGTGTTACTTCTCACTTTGACCGATCACCTCAACTGGGACTTCTGGCAGGAAGCCCAATCAGAAGCTTCATTGTCCTGGTTGAGAAGACACTATTCATTCGTGTCTCGGTAAATTTCAAGATCTTCTGAGCTGGAGAGGCCACGAGGGCGGAAAAGAGCTGAAGGCGAAATTGGACATGCATTGAGGAGGTTGGAGCGTCCGTCATAATAGCCGTTACTTGGGAAATCGTCGCCCCCTTGCTTCTTTGAACATATTTGATCTGTCCTTTATCAGTAGCTCGAGGTTGACTGAACCCCGGAAATGGTGGCTAATGAGAAGGGGGTGGGGGTGGGGTGAGGATACTTCAAGGATCGGGGGATTGTCAGTTCGGAGCCTATCTCAGCGAAGTGGGAGTTGTGTCTTAATTCAAGTTCTACTATTATCTGTGATGATTTCGGCTTGTCATTTCCATCCATTCATCATGCACGATGTTGATTGAGTAATCCAGGTTCCGACTGACCGTTTAGATGAAAGCGCAAAAATGAAAAACCAAGAAAGCAAAGAAAAACTGTTATCACTTAGTACAAATGTTATTGATTTCAGATCACGAGTTATACGTTAAGAAAAGTGGAACACTGCCCACGAACAATGAACAACGGTAGACCGGGGGACTGTTTACCGAAATTCGTCCCGCAAAGTCCAGGTGGTTGGCACATCAGGTTCGAGGCGCTTGATCTTGGGATTGAATGCATCGAAAGGGCTCTCGGGCAAGAGCCACGCCTCTGCCAGACGCCGAGCGAAATCGTCCATGACCTTGCCGTCGCGAGATTCCAGTACATCAGGCCCCACCATGACCCTGCCAGTCCTCAGGCACCGGATCTGATAGGCGCTGTCCTCTGCTTCGGAAGCCCTCTCTCCTGCTTCTTCCCAATCTACATCGGGCATTTTGTCACATGCCTCGTATGCCTCGTCAACGGCGGGCTGATCCTACTGAATCCGCTTCTCCCATTCTGCGAGTTCCTCTTCGTTCTCGATCAATTTGTCCCATTCTGCAAATTCCTTTCTTTGTTCTTCTTCGCTCAGTGTATTTTCAGGTGACGGCGTGCGTAGGTAGGATTCGCGGGGTAGGTGCACGGTCTCGAACAGATCTTCGAAGTATTTCTGAAACAGTGGCTGAAAGGCTGCCAGTCGGAGCCATCTCGGATCCAAACCCGTCACCTTGCTTCGCATGCGGAGGCGCTGGCCGTCCAAGGAAAACTGCCACCCATGGGGATCGGCTTTGGTGAACTGGCTGTAACCATCGAAGGTAGGGTCGTCCTCGGGCCATTCCCATCCGCTGACCATCTTGAAGATCACGAAAAGGTCGTCGTGCCAGTCGCTGAACGTTATCTGCGACGGTACATGTATATCTCGGTAGGCGAGGAGGATCAGAGCCTCAACTAGGCACGCAGGTAAAATCATCTTGACCGCATGGCGACCGGGCCCAAAGCAGACCGGTTCTGGAAGACGGCGGTCCTTGGACAGAACGTAGGAGCTTTGGGCATCCTCATCGGGAGCCAGTGTAGGAGCCGGTAGGTCCCAGAAGTAGTGCGAGTGTGTGAAGAGGCTGAGATCAACGTGACCTAGCTTGCCCGGCGTTTGATTGAGATGGAACACATGCGTAGGCAGCCACCAAGCTCCAAAGCTTCGGTGGTACTCGTGGTCATCAAGATATCGGCACCCCCAGGCCAGGAAAGGCTGCTGGTCCTGGCGAGTCTGGAACTCCTGGACACACTGGGCTTCCTCGACTTCGAAGGGCTCGACGGGACCGTCGTAAAAGCCTGCCTGGCGCAAGACTCGGGCCGCCTCGTCCATGAGCTCATCTGGAATCGAGAGATTGATGCTGAGCACGTCAGTCTCACATCCAAAGAAACGGAACATCATGTCACCAAAGAGAAAGTTGGGGATTCCATTGCCCACCAGAAGCTGCGTCACCTTCCCAACGAACGCTTTGTTTACCGTCTGCCCGGTGTACCTGAATGCGCAGGCTTCTTCGTTTGAGGTAGATGTCTCCGTCTCGTCCATCTGCTGCTCGATCTTTTTGTGCTCCAGTGACTCGTCCGATTCGAATCCTGGGAGATACCATCCTTTGTAAGTGCCGTAGATGGAGGACATCTTGAACGTTGAGGTTTCAACACGATAGAGAGATAGTAGTAGTAGTACAATCGGTCAGTCCGATCTTGCCATGTAGAGGCCATAGATTGAGATAAATTCCGAGATCCACATTGCTACTAAGTTTCTGGGATAAAGAAGCGTTGCACGCTTTGATGCCTTTATTCTGTCCCTACTTTGGCGGAGGTTGACTGATAGTGAAGAAAGACTGTGGAGTTGATGTGCGGTGGGTTGTTGTTTTGTTATCTGATAAGATCCAGATCAGCCTAAACAACTCCCTGGTTGCAGACCGCTCTTTGTTCATCCTCTTCTTCCCCTCCTTGACATCAGAAAACAAGAAAACAAAGCCACAACCATAAGCAGCTTCCGGTAAATCACCGTGCATTCGTATATTGCAGGGGCAATATGCGGTTGAGTCTCAGTAATCCGTCCACACCGGCCTTGAGCCGTCGGAATACCATGTTTCTCAACAATGCTCATCATTATCGCCATGGAACCCATCCCCACCTTTTGTCCACCAGGCACAAACCAAGAAGGCCCGTATTCGATCTTCTTCTTCTTCTCCTTCTTCTTCTTTTTCTTCCTCCTTTGCTCATATTGACCGTGATTCCAGATGGCCTCTCGTGTTCCGGTTCATCAAAGGCGCTATCCATGCAGCCATTCTAGTGCCAGTTTTCCTGCACGCTTTGTTTACAGCTTTCGTGGTATGGTTAGACAAGGATGTCTTTGACACCGTCGGCCTTCCGAGTAGCATCGTGAGTCATCCTTCTCTTTCATTGTTCGTGTCCTGCAATCAAAGCGGGCCGCAGATCATCGCTACGATACCAACGAAAACCAACGACAGATCCCATCTCTGTCCATTGTCGTCGGCCTCATGTTAGTCTTCCGCAACCAGACATCCTACAACCGATTCTGGGATGGGCGCAATGGCATGAATACCATCAACACCTGTGTCCGGAACCTGGTGCGGACCATCATTACGAATGGGTACAGCCCCCGGGGCGCCCCAACGACGGCAGAGAAGCAGGACATCGAGCGGACGGTCCGCATCCTGATGGCCATCCCGTTTGCCGTCAAGAACCATCTCCGCGCCGAGTGGGGCGCCGCCTGGGCTTTGGGCAATGACGTCGCGGAGAATGGGGTCACGGATTTCAATCCGGACTATGCCAGCCTCCTGCCCGCGGGACTGGAGGGCCATGAGGACGGAGGGCTGGGGCTCCCCTATCAGCTGACTTTCTTCGTGGATCAGTTCATCAAGCGCGGGGTCGAGCGCGGCTGGTTCCATGCCCCCGGGGCAAGTCAGATGCAGGCGCAGCTGAACACACTGACCGACGCCTATGGCCGGATGGAGACGATCAAGCTCACGCCTATCCCCGTTGCACACCTGTGAGTTCTACCTTAAAACTCTCTTCCGGATGGTACTTCCATGCCGCCTGTCTCCAATCAAGAACACCTCTTGTTTTCACTCCCTCTACTGATTCATGGTCTTCTTGCACATCCAGAATCCATCAGAAACAGGTCCTCGCCCTGTTCGGCTGCGTTCTCCCCTTCGGCATGGTCGACGACATGGGCTGGTGGACCATCCCGATGGTCAGCCTGGTGATCTTCACGCTGTACGGCATCGAAGGCATCGGCTCGCAGCTCGAGGACCCGTTCGGGTATGATCGCAACGACATCAAGATGGACGCCATCGTTGGAGACGCCAAGACCGAGGTCGACGTCGTTTTGGACGAGTGGCGCAAGACCATGGCTTTTCTTGACGTCGAAAGATCGAACGATGTCGTCGGAACTGACCCCCGGGCTGGCAGCGATGCTGGGATCACCGGGTTTGTCCTGCCTGAAATGTTCTTAAGGAGAGATGCGGTCATGAGTGCCGCAGGATAGAGTACTCCGGACTTATAATGTGCTTGAGGGTTGAGTTTGGGTGGGTGTATCGCGAGGAGGAGGGCAAAAGGATAGGATCGAGCGGGGGCTTGCTGGCAGAAACTTCTCTCTCGTTGGGAGTTGTGGGTAGCACAAGGTTTCTTTTTTTGTGATCTGTTAGGTTCTGGCGACGAGTGACGCACATATGTCATTTGAAGCCACGTACAGTACATAAAACATGTGTACATCTATGAATATATGTTATATGATATTGAATATGAAATTCAGAAGCGGAGACAAAGTCAACGCCCAGCCTAGTATGAAGAACAAGGAATCAGCGACAACCATAGAGATTACATCGACCAGAAGACCATTCATTCTACATTTTAGTGACATTCATGACTCTTATCGAACACCCAGGGAGAGGACACCGCTCAGGAGAATCACAATGGCGCCTCTAACGTAAGTACACCTTCCAAAATCGTATCAGGGTTGGCATACTCCAGCACATTGGCCACGGCCCCCAGGTCACTCCCATACTGCAAGCTTCGGTCGTCCGCGGGCTTGGCCATAACGATACGATGACGGAAGACCTTTTTCGCCGCTAACGCTACAAGCGAGGGGGTGACGAAGTCCAGGCCATGCAAGACGGCAAGTAACCTGCCGAGATGACAGTCAGACCGGGATATCCTTCCTCGTGCTATTGTGACAGGCAACGGGGAGAAGCACTAACCTGGAGAACGCCTTGAAATGCAGGTTCGAACGCGTGGAGATGCCACCGGCCACTGCGCGACTGAGCCGCAGAAAGACAACAATGTCTTGCTGGTAGCGGGTGATGTCTGCCCCTACGGTGACAGCTTCGCTGGATCGCTGGAGTTTGTCCAATAGCTGCGAGTTTCCGCATCAACTTGAAATTCCTGGTGGGGTGGGGGCGGGAATGAGCATACCTCACGATCTATGTGTGGATGACCTTTTTCCGGTTGGGCTTCGGACTTGCGGATCACCGAGGATGCAGATACTTGTCCCTCCGAGAGCCAGTCGGTGTCTTCCTCGAGATAGACGTAGCCGTCCTCGGGGTCCTGGTAGTGGGAGATGAAGAGGTGGTCATTCTGGGTACGTATTAGCTAGCAGTGAAGAGAGACAGGTACGGGATGGTAGGGATGCCAAACCAAATGAGAATTCAATGAGGGTTGGTCTCGTTCCCCCGTGCGCGCTATCAACGGCACAAAGAGGAAGTCTGTTGGTGCTTCCCAGATTCCTGTCTGCAGGGACAGTCGCTTCGAGCGCATCAGCTAATGGAATTAAACGTTAGATAGAGAACTAGTTGTAGTAAGTAGCAATTGGTCCTGGCTGACCTCGAGCACTGAGCGCTGGATCTCATCTCCGACGTGGTTGAAGTTCTTCGCTATGATGACATTGGGGATCTGGAACGTTTGTCCAGGAGACCTTGACGGTTTTGTCCGACCATTCCCGCTCTGCGGTGTAGATAATTCTGAGAGGAATGTGTCAAACGTGGTCGCGTAGGAACAGTCGACGATAACCTGAGTCAGTCCAAAGGTGTTGGGGCAGATCTGGTGCCTTGCACATTAGTCAAAGGGCCTGAGAATGGAGAGCAGTTTGGCATTCACCAGGGCGAGCTCTTTAGCAACGTCATGGACATTGGTGTCGGCCGTCTCGACTCGACAATGCTCATGGACTGCAAGACATAGAAACAGAGCGACCTCCAGGTCGGATAACTCCAATGCTAGATTGCGGATCTCCACTTTATGATCCATCGCACTTCGCATGCGCAGGCATCATGGCTGCAGCATCTTAATGATTTAGGGGAGGGAGAAGTAAGTGTATTCAAAGCCTGAGGCAGCCTGGGATGCGTCGATGGAGCCAGCTTGACCAGTTGTCGGTTACTTAGTTGCATAACCCAATCGGGTTAGCAGCTTTGCCCGCCCGACTGCGGCTGCTTTCCCGGAAGGACCCCCACGTTGATCATTCATTGCATTGTTCATTGTTGTCACTCTCTCGGGCTGTCCTCAGTCTCTTGACCACGCTGTCAATGGCACCATCTAATCCTTTGGCCAATTGGGAGAGACTGGGTGATAGTTTCTATCGCAAGGTTCCCATCTATGATGCCATCTTCGATGAAGACATCGAATTGGAGAACTACATCATCGCTGGCGCCCCATATGGAGGAGCTATCGGTAAGGACATGTCTTGCTGCCGTGAACCACGACTTCATAATCATCATACATTTATTGACCCTCAACAGCACTGCACCGCGATGAAAGCAAGCCGTATCGGTTCCGTGATGCTCAAACCACCAAGTCGAGTATTGACATCTATTCGTGCTCCGGAAAGCTAATCAACCGTCTGAATGTAAGCATCCCTCCCTTCTCTGGACCAGGGGCTGGACTTCCCTAATTCTTCCCACAGTGGGAATTTGGCACGATCCGGGGTCTTGGATGGTCTGATAGAGAGGAGCTCTTGGTCATTACTGAAGATGGTACTGTCCGACGTTACTTTGGGCTCCATGGCGATTTTACTTCCTTTTCTCTCGGCAATGTGAGTCTCCCCAGCGTCGATGGTCTGAGCTGTGTTCAACCCTGACTTCGGTCCAGGGGGCTGAGGAATACGGTGTAAGGGGTTGCCGTTTCTGGACTTCCGGATTTGTGGCTTTGCTTTCGAACAATCAGCTCGTGGCCGTGTCAAATTACGACGAGCCTCGTCCCCGGCTCTTGGCCCCTTGTCCAGAAGGAGAGGTATCATCCTGGTCCTTGATACCCCCGGCGTACACGCTCTCCCGCTCAGTCGAAGTTCTGTTGGCTGTTGACAAGACCGTCTACTTGGTCGACCCCACAGAGGCGGAAGACAAAGTCCTCCAGAACGGACCGTTCAAGCATGCGAGCGTCTCACCAACGGGGCGATTTGTCGCACTTATCACAGCGGAAGGTAAAGTCTGGGTGGTGAGTAGCGACTTCCAAAGCAAGTACAGTGAATATGACCCGGAGTCTCGAGTGACACCCAGAACTGTTGATTGGTGTGGAGACGACGCTGTTGTTATCGCGTGGGAGGACGAGGTGCACCTCATCGGACCGAATGGAGTTGCTGCTAGGTACGTCATAAGTCAACCTTTTCTGTATTTCCTCCGGCGATGCCAATCAGTACAGGTATTATTATGATGGGACAGTTCATGTTATACCGGAATTTGATGGTGTACGACTCATCACCAACGATACCTGCGAATTCTTGCATAAAGTTACTGGTATGTATTTCCATACCCTTAGGGTGATAGCCACTGAGACCCTGGGTCAGATGTGACAGAAGCCATCTTCCGGCTTGGTTCTACTTCCCCGGCATCAGTGCTCTTGGATTCTGTAGACTTGCTAGAGAAAAAGTCTCCGAAAGCCGATGAAAACATCCAACGCATTCGCCCGAGTCTGCCCGAGGCAGTTGACACCTGCGTCAAAGCGGCGGGCCAGGAATTCGATACACACTGGCAAAAGCGTCTATTGAAGGCAGCCTCTTTCGGAAAGTCGGTGCTTGACTTATACAACAGCGACGAATTCGTGGAAATGACGGAGAAACTGCGAGTGTTGAAAGCAGTGAGAGACTATCAGATCGGATTGCCTATCTCTTACGAGCAGTACATGCGCCTCACGCCTGAGCGACTCATTGAACGTTTAGTGAACAGACATGAGTATCTTCTGGCGATCCGAATTTCCGAATACCTCGAACTTGCCGCGGACAAGATTTACGTTCATTGGGCAAGCCAGAAAGTCAAGGTCGCCACGGGAGATGACGAAGCCGTATGTAAACTCATTGTCCAGAGGTTAGATAATAAGCCAGGCATATCGTTTGAGTTGATTGCTCAGACGGCTTACGACGAAGGGCGCGTGCAGCTCGCAACACAATTACTGAACCACGAACCGCGGGCCGGTAAGCAGGTCCCGCTACTGTTGAATATGGAGGAGGATGAGATTGCCCTGGACAAGGCAATCGAGAGTGGAGACGTCGATCTAGTGAACTATGTCCTTCTACATCTCAAGACAAAACTTCCCCTGGCGAGCTTTTTTCGAACAATCAACACCCGTCCTATGGCGTCTGCTCTAGTGGAAACAAATGCCCGCTCACAGGACACAGAGTTGCTCAAAGACCTGTTCTACCAAGATGACCGCCCGATTGATGGCTCGAACGTACTTCTTTCGGAGGCTTTGAAAGAGACGGACTTGCCGCGGAAGTCGGAAAGGCTTCACCTGGCAACCCGTCTGTTGTCAGACTCGAAAGATCCTTCGGTGGTCCTGCAGCAGAAACTACTCTCCGAAGCCTCACAGCTTCTAAAAGTGCAGGAAGCGCTGGACAAGGATCTTGCTGACAGGACCGAGTTTCTAGGCTTAAGCTTGAACGAAACGATATTTAGGTTGATCCGATCAGGTTACGGCAAAAGAGCACAGAAGCTTCAGAGTGAATTTAAGATGCCAGAGAAAACATTCTGGTGGTTGAGATTGAGAGCTCTAGTCGCTAAGCGAGACTGGGGCGAACTGGAAGATATCGGTAAAATCAAGAAATCCCCCATAGGGTGGGAGGTAAGACGAATCCACGACCCTGCGCCCTTGAAGCATGCATATACTCACAATACTCACAACAGCCTTTTTACAATGAAATCCTGGGAGCAGGGAACACGAAGCTCGCCTCAGTATTTGTCCCCAAATGCACCAACCTGCCCGCAGACGAAAAAATGGAAATGTGGGTGAAGTGTGGGATGATTGCCAAAGCAGGCGAGGAAGCCTTCCGGGCAAAGAATCTGAATGCCCTCGAGCTCCTGCAGACCCGGGCGTCGGGACCAGCCGCCGCCGAGATCGACCGGATGATCAACCAGCTGAGGCCCAGGAAATAAAGATTTGGTGCAGCCCCAAAACTTTCTCCTGCGAAACTGGTTCAAGTGATCTCCTCATCCTCATCGTTGTCGGCATGTTGATCGGCGACCGGGTTCTGAACGGCAAAGCTCGCTTGCTTTGCAGGCTTGCTTTTCTTAGCAGGGGCCGAGTCATCCATCATGGCGTCGTCGAGGTCATCGGCCTCATCGGCAAGGGTCTGGAACATGGTCTTCGACGCCTTGCGGTTCAGATCCTCCCATTCGCCCTAGATTTATTACATGTCAGAGATCATGCGCAAGGAGCCATGAACAATATGTTGAGCACATACCCTACGAGCTTTGACAACTTTAGCGCGGTTGACACTTCGGTTGACTTTGCTCTCGAGCTGATCCATGACCGCTTCTGCTCTCTCCATTCCTTTCTGCTGCCTCGCGCGCTGCGCTTTAGTCAAAGGCTTCGACTTGGACTTCTTCTTCGAGACGCCAGCATTTGCTCGATCGGCCAGAATGGATTCACGTTGCACTGTGGTTTCTTCCGCCCGAGGGAGGGTGGTCAACGATTTATCGAGATCGAGACTGGGAGAAGCTGCCCGGCGGGCAGCACGGGAATGTTTGGACTGGGCTGTAGTAATGCGATCACGTTAGAAATGAACCGTAGCTTTTCCAAAGCCCTTAAAGCGCAACAAGTAATATACTTACGTCTCGACTTTGCCATGGTGCACACACAGCAGAGAATACCGAGTGAGCCCGAGCGATGGGGATTAAATTGTTGTGGTGACGGACGGAGACTTTCTTTTCCTTTCTTGCCTATCGATAAAACCTTTTCCGGGTGGCGGTAGTGACCCAACGCGCATTCGGCCTTGCGGCGCGGCTTGTTCGGCCGCCATCCATTCTGCACGCACTGGCTGACTGCCTTTTTGTCTTCGCATCACGCATCAGACCATCATCCTACCTGTCTTTACCCTTGGCTCTACTTACCTTTACTGCTTATTTCGATATGCTTATAGCTCGGTCCCCATGCCGCAGCTTTTGACTTTCTCTCATCAGCCATGAACGCTCGCAGAGAGGGGATTGACTTCTCCACTCAGAGACCCTTCAGCAGCGTGCATTACAGCAACTATGATACCACTTTCCAGCATTTGCAAGGCCACTCCAACCTCACAGCCGGCGTACTAGTGACTATCCTATCTGTATATTTCATCCTCAACTACTTTGGCTTCGTTCCCTTCTCGCTGGCCCATTTCGCGTGGGATTTGGTCGTCCGCCTGACCCCGTCGCGGCTGGTCGCCGCACTTGACTCCACGAGACCCGACACTTTGGACTCCTCCTCGTCAACGTCGATGAGCTTTGAAGCGAAGAGCGAAGCGATGAGACGGATCCTTGGCCTCGATAATGGATTCCTCTCCGCCCTCCTGCCTCGCGCGTCGACCTTCTCGGGCTTCAGCACGTCGCTCCTGAGCGGCAGGGACAACTCTCCACCCGGTCTGGGCAACTGGGACAACTCGTGCTATCAGAACAGCATCATCCAGGGCTTGGCATCCCTCCACTCGCTGGAGGACTTTCTCGACAGGAACCTCGAGCGACTGGGCCAGCGGTCCTCGTTTTCCACCCACCATGCCCTCAAGGAGATCATCGAGCGGCTGAACGGTGCGGAAAGCTACGGACAGCGACTCTGGACGCCGCCGGAACTGAAGTCGATGAGCAGCTGGCAGCAGCAGGATGCACAGGAATACTTTGCGAAGGTGGTGGATCAGTTGGACCTCGAGGTGCGGCAAGCGACGCGGCGGCAGACGCGCAACCTCGGCTTGAAAATGGCTGGGCCGCAGGAACATGTCATCGGGACTGGGGATCGAGGGTTGATGCAGGCGGATCGTGCTGTGGATCTGCGGTCGGCCGCGGAACCCCAGCTCGTGGAAAACCCGTTGGAGGGCCTTCTCGCGCAGCGCGTCGGCTGTATACAATGTGGGTGGACCGAGGGCCTGTCTTTGATCCCGTTTAACTGCTTGACGGTGCCTCTTGGGCCCAAGTTCGAGTACGACATCCGGGAGTGTCTTCATCAGTATATGCATTTGGAGCCAATCGAGGGTGTGGAGTGTGCCAAATGTACCTTGCTGCGCACACGGAGTCAACTGTTGAATCTGCTGTCTCAGATTGAGGAGGAAAACGATACCCTGCCGACGAGCTCTGACTCCCAGACGGTTTCGGATGCTCTCAGGAAGTCGGCCCGGGAGCGTCTGCAAGCCGTGGACGAGGCTCTCGAGGAGGAAGATTTTGCGGAGAAGACGTTGTCAGAAAAATGCCATATCCCCTCGAAGAACCGGGTATCGACTACCAAGTCACGCCAGGCCGTGATTGCCCGACCCCCGAAGTGCCTGGCTGTTCACATCAACCGCAGCATGTTTGATGAGATGACAGGGATGCTGCGGAAGAATTATGCTGCCGTCAAGTTCCCCACAACCATGGACCTGAACGAATGGTGCCTGGGAGGGTTAACCCAAGATCCAGCCCACAAGGACATAGAGCAATGGGGAACTGACCCTAGAATTTCGATGCTGTCGCGGGGTCGCGGTGACAATTCCTCAAGCCGACTTTACGAGCTGCGAGCTGTCGTCACGCATTATGGTCGCCACGAGAATGGTCATTACATCTGCTACCGCAAGTACCCGACGGAGGTTTTCCCGGCGCACGTACCGGAAGCCGTTCTCGAAGCGGACGGCGACAAGGAGAAACCCGAGCGATGGTACCGACTCAGCGACGAGGACGTGCAGATGGTCAGCGAAGCGAGCGTCATGTCCCAAGGCGGTGCCTTTATGCTATTCTACGAGGCAGTGGAACCGAGCTCGACTGGGAGCGCGGACACGGACGAAATGGCCTCGCAAGACGGCGATATCTCGCCGCCGTCCATATTCAGCCGGCCCCCGTCTGACAGCATGTCCGCTACATCAACCACGGGGGACTCTGTCTCGGACACGTCGCAAGCAACGAGCGTCACGGCTTCGCTGCCGGTCGAACCTTTAGGCGAGAAATTTCCGCTGGAGTTGGAGGTGGATTAATGGATCCATCCTGCCTGACACCCGAAACTATGTATATCAGCGTTATGTGATACCCCCCATGTGCACAACTCATTGCCACGGCGTTTGATTTGCTCTCTCATTTGGAAAACTGTCCTTTCTCATTTCTCTCTTAGTGGACTGTGCTTCAGCTGCAAGATCTGCACAACAATGTTTGTATTTTAGGTGCGGCCGGTAGGCGATTAGGGGGCTCAAACATTATTACACTCAACCCTTGCTTGACAAGGGACTAGGCATGCTAGATCTAATGATATGTTCGCATGACATTCACCTTGCACCTTTGTTAATCATAAATCCTATAAGTTTGTACAATTCATAACCACCAACGCACGCGATGCCGACAACATACTGTACAGTACTGTACCTACCTACCCACTTTGAACCCCCAACGCCCGCTATGACCAATGTACTCCGAAGTATTGACAACTGCCTGGCGCCAGTTACCCAAAAGAAACGCCACATAATCCATCATCATCGCCTTTCATGTTCATGACCCATCGAAACCAGCCACCAAGACCCACACCATTCCATTATAGCCCTCCCTCCCTCCATCCCATCCATCACCACAGATCCCCCTCCCCTCTCACCATGGATAGCTTCAAAAAACCCCCGCCCGCTGCATCACCTCCCGAAACTGACCCAGAGTCACACCCGCCGCCACCCCGGCGCCCCCATTCGCCTCGAGGATCATATCCCTCAGCAACTGATCATCCAAGTTCCCCTCCTCCTTGAGTTCGCGGGCGATCCGCCGCAGATGGTGGAGGGTGATGATGCTGCTGCTACCGGATGCGCCTGCGCCTGCGCCTGCACCGCTCCCGCTACCCCCGCTACCCCCGCGCGTGAAGAGCCGAAACGCCGCATCGACCTCGGCGGCCATGGCCTCGTCGGAGCGGGAGCGGAGCTTGGCGGCGGCGACGGTCAGAAACGGTTCGTAGGGGACGTAGCCGGTGTCCGTGGGGTCGAGGGCGGAGAGGATGGCGGGGAGTTCGGTGGAGGTGGCGGGGAGGCCTAATGCTCTTTTTTTTCCGGGGTGGTCGTTAGTCAAAGAGTTGAGGACCGGGGGCATGTGGACTGTATTTGGAAGAAAAATGCTCAATGGAGGTATAGGATGAGAAAGTGAGAGTACAGTTAGTTGTACATACGAAAGTGCCTTCTTCACATCTTCCACCGGGATCACCCCTTCCTTCTCGTCGGGGAACTCATCGATCTCGTCGTCAACAACAAACAAGTGAAACACTTCTTTGATCTCGCTTTCTTCGGCGGCGGTGATGTCGTTCTCCTTGGCGAGTTTGGATTGTCGCGCGCGTTTCGGGGCGGGGGTGGAGGAGGTTGCGGTGGTAGGTGGGGGGCCGCGTTTGCGGGCTTTGGGAGGCTGGTGAGGATGTGTTCATAGATTAGAAATTTGGTTCGGGAGTTGAGTTTGAATTAGGGAGGGGTTGCGTTACCATGCTGTGAGATTGTGAGGTGGGAGAAAAGAATGCGTGGGCGCAAAGTGGAATGTTCAGTAGAATTGGAGTTGGAGAAGATGAGGAGATGATGTCAAAGAAATGCCATGGGCGCGGGGGAGCCGTTGATTGGTGGAGGAGACCCTTTTCGGTCTTTCTTCACTTCTCCCGAGTCTCTCATGGACATGATACTTACATAGTAAACAACTTTACTTAACTTAGTACATCTGACTACGCTGTAAGTCTCGACCTGAGGATCTTCATCCGGATTCAATCGTCTATTCCACCGTCTTCGAGAATCTTTCCCCTTCCATCTCGTGACTGCCTGCGGCTGACGTAACCGCAAGGATGCCTGCTCCGATCTACACGCCTTAAAAAAGAGCAGATCGAACAATCCAGCACCATTCACAGTCCTGTCAACCAGTCCACTCATCATGGATGTTGAGCTGTACGTCTATGACCTTTCCAAGGTGGTTCTATTGATTCTGAGTCTTGGTGCTGTCCAAATTACTGACACATTCTCCCACAGGGTCTTGCGCGATTGGTAAGTCATGTCGCTCAGCAGCACCTGCATCGTGTCTAATGCAAGCATTTCCTCCCCCCCCCCCAGTATTCCATGCCCTTGACTGGCACCCAAATCGATGCCATCTACCACACCTCGCTGGTCCTCAATGAGGTCGAGTACTACTACGGCCAAGGCATCCAGACGGCTGTCCCCGGTAGCACACACCATGGACAGCCGATGGAGAAGCTGCATCTGGGCCAAACGGAGCTCCCCCTGGACGTGATTGAGGAATACATTCAGTCCATGGCAGAAATCTATACGCCTGAGGTGCGTGCGTGCGTGTCATGCTTCTTGCATTACCCACAGATCAAGAGCTAACACCCTTTTCAGTCCTACGATCTCTTCCTGCATAATTGCAACAATTTCACCCAAGACCTGGCCATGTTTCTGCTCGGGAAGGGCATCCCGGAACACATCCAAAACCTCCCGCAGACCTTCCTGAGCACTCCCTTTGGGCAGATGATGAAGCCACAGATTGAGATGGCCCTGCGTGGTGTCACTCAAGGCACTGGCACAGACGGTGCTCAAGCGCCGCCCGCCTCCGGACCAGCAGCAGCAGCAGCAGCGACCCCGGCCCAACAACCCTCCTCGCCGCCGGTTACCCAGGGCGTGGTCCGAATGGCAAGCAGCCTGGCCCAGCTGGAGCAGCACCTCACCGCCGCCTCCCAATCATGCGCTGTCATCTTCTTTACCTCCGCCACCTGTCCGCCCTGCAGGATGGTCTATCCCACGTACGACGAATTGGCCGAGGAGGCCGGGGACCGCGCCATCCTCATCAAAGTCGACATCAGCACGGCGATGGAAGTCAGCACGAAATACCGCGTGCGCGCCACGCCCACCTTCATGACCTTCCTCAAGGGCCAGAAGGTCGACGAGTGGTCCGGCGCCAACCCGGCGCAGCTGCGCGGCAACGTGCGCCTGCTGCTGGAGATGGCCACCCCGACGCACCGTCACCGCCAGCTCCATCTCCCCAGCTTCCAGCGTCACCTCCCCAACTACGTCACCTACAAGAAGATCCCTCCACTCGACAAGCTCCGACAGAAGCTCCACCCCCACACCGACGACTCCACGCTGACCTCCATCCTCGACTTCATCCAACGTCGCTTCATCGCCACCAGCCCTGACTCTGCTGGTGCCGCCGACGTCGCCCTACCAACCTCCCTGCCAACCTTCGGCCCCTACCTCCAAACCACGTTAGGCACCCTCACCCCGGAGAACCAATTCGCCCTCGTCGACCTCGTCCGACTCCTCTTCCTCGACCCTAGGGTATCCGGCTGGTTCGCCGCCGAAGACCCGCACCACGAGCTCCTGCGCACGCTGCTGTCTTCGGCCAACACTTCCGCCGCTACAACCCCGTACCCCCTCCGCATCACCCTCTGCCAACTCGCCTGCAACCTCTTCACCAGCCCCCTCTACCCCGACCACTTCTTGTCGTTGTCCTCCCAAACCGATGACCCGCAAATCCTCCCCCTCCTCCTCAACCTAACGACCACCTCCCTCCTCGACCCGCACCCGAACCTGCGCATCGTCGCCGCCTCCTTCGCCTACAACCTCGCCGCGCACAACCACAACGCTCGCTTCGCCGGGCGGTCCGACCCCCTCCCCGCGGAGATGCAGGTCGAGCTCGTCGCCTCGCTGGTCGAGGCCCTCGACCGGGAGACCCAGAGCCGCGAGGCGGTGCACGGGCTCCTCTTCGCGCTGGGGTTGTTGGTGTACGAGGCGCCCGAGGACGGGGAGGTCGTCGATCTCTGCAAGGCGATGGGGGTGCGGGAGATGATTGCGGCGAAACGGCGGATTGTCGAGCTCCGGGGCGAGGAGGCGTTGATGCGGGAGGTCGGGGAGGTGTTGTTGGGACGGGGGCTGTAGAGGGGTTCTTACTGCCTTAGAGAGGACTCTGTATTCTGTTCGGTCACTAGACTAGTCTCCTTAGTAGTCATTTTATCATTTTCACACGTGCTAGAGAGAGGGAGGGAGTTGGGAAATAACATGGACACAGATTGGGAGGCGTACAGAATCAGTTGAGGCCGTCAGAGAATGTTTGTTAGTCACTAACTACTACTCATCTGCATCTCCATCCCACCCCGATACGGTATACAATCCTGCATTCTACATCTCGGTAACGACACAGATATCACCCGAGATATCTCGAGAACCAGCAGCGGGATAGCGTGCACCGCCTGCTTGCGAAGATAGGCTCCTCCAACCTTTTCGACTATAGGAAGAAGATGAGGTTGGGTGGGATCACTCGTTTTCTTACTCCGCATTCAATCTCTGCCAGCAGTATTCAAGGAACAAAAGTATCAAATATGATGTAGTCCTTCATTTCTTATCCAGTTGCAACCTGGGTCTGCTATCCTAATTGCCTATCCTATCCTATCCAGCAAAGCAGAGCAAAGAAAAGCAAAGCAAAACAAAACAAAGCATCATTAATCGCTAGGGTATGGTTCGCCAAGCTATGCAATTTCAAGCAAAGTAACGCTAGAGCTGTTCTGTGTAACACGCTCGGGGGTATGGGGCTCGAAAATAGAAAACGAAATTAAAAAAAAAGAAAAAGAAAAAGTGAAAGTGAAAAAGAGGCATACATACATGACGGGGTATCTAATCATCCGACGGACGCTTGAAGAAGACGCTTGTGGCCAGATGGTAAAAACAAAATAAAAACAACAAATCAGGTAATCCAGCTGATGGTGAAGTAGCGCTTGTTATCCCGAAAATAGTAAACTTGGAACATTAGGTAGAAAAACCCCATGGGTATAACCGGGAAAACATAATGAGATAGCAAAAGGAAAAGATGATTATGAGGTAAGAGCGAGATACCACCAACACCGTCGCGACAACGCATAGAAAATGAAACAGTCAAGGTGGTGGTGGTGTGTGGTCAGGTAAATCTTGTAGATAGGGAGATTAGAATAAACTCGAGGAATGCGCGGCACCGATCGTTATCTCGCCTCATCGCATAGTCGTCTGGGACTGAAGCCCGCAAGTCCGAGGAAGAGTATCAAAGCGCATGCCAGTCAGTTCTCAATGAATGAGTCACTTCACTTGATCAAGGCAAGGTAGGTAATGCGATCAGAGCGTGTCCTGACAATGGCGGTGAGATCGTGCGGATTGATAGGCTCAGCCAGCAGAGCAAAGCCCTGTCCGGCGTGCAGGGGGTGGTGTGCGAGCCTTCGGGGGAGTACGGGCGATAAAAGAAGTAACGAAAGGCGAAAGGAGGGGTTGCGGTTGCTTTGATTTTCGAATTCAATCAAATGCGCCGACAGCGAAGGGGAAATTAGATAATCAGGCAGCCAGCGCTCGGGCACCAAATCAGACTGCGTGATTGGAAACTCCGGGCTCCAGGCTGTCAATTCCGCCCGCCGGCTACGGCGCGTAACCCCAGGCTCGCGCACGTGCGGCTCTCACTGTCGTCATCGTCATCTTCGCCTTGTTCCCGGAGGATGGGAAATCCCCGTTCGAGAATAATCGGATGCAGCGCGCCTTGTGATGCTCACACGCCTGAATTTCTGTCGGAGAATCCAGCCTGACTGGTCGGAAGGAAGAGAAAAGAGCCTGATCATCTGGCCGAAATCCAGATCCAGAGGAGCAGGCGAAGAAAAAGCAAGTTGAAGAAAAAAGTAATTAAGAGAGTGGGAGTCGAAGCAAAAAAAGAAAAAGACCCGGATGCGAATCGCTGATCGCATATGATAGAGCCCAATAACTGCGGATAGATCGGCGCTGACCATGCGACAGCCCTAATCTCCGCCAAAACAGACCGTGGGAGGGGGTATCGAGAGTGAAACATGCACAGGAACGCTGAGATATGAGATTGATGTTACAGAGAAGGACCCGGCGGGCACCCTCTTCTGGTCTCTAGACCCGGCAAATAGTTGCCTTGGTCCCAGAGGTAGTGCGTCTTTTCCGCTCGGGAAGGGCCTTGCGTTTCTTGTTGCGTTTGGCGTTCTCGCGCTCGGTGGCTGCCATTTGGGCTACACGCATCGCCTGCTGGGCTCTGGCATGTGCTTGTACTTGGGCCAGGAAACGCGCGCGCTGGGCATCCTCATCGGCTGCAGCGCGGAGCATCTGAATCTGCTGCTCGGTCGTCAGATCCATGGCGGGATCCTGTGCAGCGGACTCCTCATCGATGGCGCTGTCGGAAGGCACATCGGAACCACTGGGGAAGAGATCCTCATCTGACAGGTAGGCACTGGCGGTCGAACCCTCGGAATCGGCACTGAGTAGCGATGGTCGGTTTGGCCAGGAGGGGAAAGCACACGAGTTGTTCAGTCCATAGCTGCTGGAGAATGAGCACTTGCGGGGAGTAATGTCGAGCAGAGAGTCGCTGGGAGACGGAGGCGGTGGAGGCGGCAACGAGCTAGGCGAGCAGGAGCTGCCGTAGCTGAAGCTAAAGGAAACTGTCTGGGTGCTGGTCGTGGCCTCACTCAAGGAGGAGCGCACACTCGACTGGTTTTGACTCCAAGGAAGTAGGGGATACATGGCTGTGAGTTGAGTTCTGATCTGCGAATGGAGGATCGGATAGGTAAGGTGATGATCTCGGTCGCAGAAAAATTTTCAGAGCGTGTTGTTGTTTGTGTTTGTTTGTTGGTTGTTGTGTTGATAGAGTGGAGAGTGGAGAGTGTCGAAGAGGAAGGAGGGAGATGAGAGGAGTAGATATAGAATGTGTGGAGAATGAGAAGATGATCGACCTTGTGGAGGAGCTGGGGAAGTAAATAAAGCTTGGAGGGAGGGGAGGATCAACGATCACCTCCGTCAGGTTGGGAGCAAATGGCGGAGAGTAGAGTTAGTGGTGAAGGTGTATGTGGATGTGTATGTGGATGAGCAAAAGAAGCCAAAGTACTTGTATAAGAAGGAAGCAGGGCCAGATCGATCGGGGGTAAGAGGCGTCTTTGGGTCTGGACTCCCTTGCATCTCCCAACAGATAAGGCGGGGAGGGAGGGGGGTTGGCAGCGATGGATCCTTTTCTGTTTTTTTTTTTTTATTCCTTTGAATTTGATTTATTTTATTTTATTGTCTTTTAATTTTGAGATTAAAAGAAAAATAAAATAAAATAAAATCAAAAAGGGAAAATCAGAAAAAGAAGGGGGGGGGGTCAAAAAGAAATGACCGAAAGAAGAAATATTCAGGGAAAAAAGGGCCCCACGGGATCAATTCGCACCAAACAAATGCGTCCAGCGACCAGTTTGGAATTTTCCGCCAGCTGCAAGTCAAGTGCGGCGATCAGGCGGAGGTCGACAGGGAGGAGGAGAAGTAGCAGAAGGAGAAGAACTTGTCCTAGAAGTAGTCCCAGAAGTAGTCCCAGAAGTAGTCCCAGAAGTACCAAAGTCACGATCTTCACGCGTCGTGTTGTTGATGTTGATGTTGATCAAGTCTCCAAACAGAGGGATCCTGGTGTAGTAACGGGTCCAGTAGACATCGATTTCCCTCTTGGGAAGAGCAACAAAAGTACATTGGATAAATAATAATGAACAAGGTGAAAGGGTGTGGGTGTGTCTTCGCGATGAATCGTTTGCAGGTGGACTCGGTCAATCTGACAGCCGACCCTGGTCAATTGAGGCGTGGGATCTATCACTTTTTCCTTTTCGCATATCATTTTTCAGACCGTGGGCACTCCCTTTTTCGGGGGACGGATTTATTTATATACTAAAGCTTTTTGTTTTTCTTTCCACAGCCAAAGTTGACGGGCCCGGGGAAGATCGGATCGGATTCCAGGCCGTGGGGGTGGAAATGGAAGAAAAAGTCAACTGTCAAAGAATCCTGATGAGTCAAAGGTGCAGCTTTAAGATTACCGATGGGGCTTTCCGGATTTACTCATGGATCGTGATTTTGCCGTATACCGTAGGTATTATTTTTTGTTTCTATTATGTTTATTTATTTATTTTATCTTGCTCTTAACCGGTACTTCACTACTCCGTACATCTTCCCGATCAACACAGTTCCCCCCCTCTCATGGACTTATTTTCTCCGCCACCCCCAAAATAAAGCTGACAGTTCACACAACACGAGTCCAGCGAACAGACAAGAGTACTGACCAACAATGATGATATAGTTAAATTAGCACAGCTGACGGCATGGCATGGCACTGCATTGCGATCAGAAACATCGTCAGGTCTTCAGGACTGGCAATCGATAGGCCCTCTCTACATTTCAGCCCATGTTTCAGAGCTCAGGGGGGGAGGGGGAAAGAGAACCGAGGGAGTAGTTGATCCATAATTCCTACCCAATGGACCCGTAGTAGGGTTAATGGTGGTCTCACTCCGACCCCATCAGCAGTCCCAATAGCATTCTCTTCATTATCAGCAGCAGCAGCAGCAGCAGTAGCATCATCATCGCCACACTGACCCCTCGACAACGTAGGTACCTACTTTTCACATCTCGGATCCCGCGATAACCTCAATCAGGGGATCGGATGGCCAAGCTTGGTAGTTTGGCGGCTTGGGTTGTCGTGCGTCGCAACGGGATCTTGCGGTCTATTTGTCGGTGTGTGAAGGCTGTCCAGCTGTTCATTCAAGCTTCAAAGCCCTCTCGCTCGCTTTGACTACTTTACTGCAGCTCAAACAGAAAGACGCCTCGCCTCGTCTTGTTGTCGGCACCCTCTCCCCTTTCCCCCTATGCTGTTTGTCGATCAAATTAATAGACCTCAAGGTTTCACCGCTCCTAATGTGTGACATCCACATTTGGAGGTTGGGTGATGTGCAGCATTGGGGGGGGGGATGGGAAGGGGGGATAAGAGACATACATATCCGCCCGCTGTAAGTCAGGATGGAAGTGGAGGTAATGTACTCACATGTATGTACGTATGTACATCCTTTTAGTGATAACGGTGGGGGAAGTGGGTAGAGCGTTTACTTTTGTGGCACCTTGAGGCTTGAGCATCCCAGGAAGTTTCAAACGTGTTTAGGCTGGGGAGAAACAACTGGTGGTCGAGGTATAACAACAATACGCAGCGTGCATGATCCGTCCAGATGGTGATGCGATCGAGTCTTTCCCAGAGACCCTTCCATCTGGCGGTCAGTCAGGCAAACATTGGTGGTGGTGGTATTTTTGTCGCTTTGTCGCTTTGTCGCTTTGTCCACGGCAATGACAAGCACGACTCGAGAATCAAATCAACTCGTGCGCTGATCGCGAGAAACGTGAAAATGAAAAAAAAGTAAAAAAGAAAGAAAGATAATCTTCAGCAGAGATGGAAGTCTAGCCCTTGATGGTGGGAATTAAGGAAGAGAGAGACTCGGTCCTCCCCCCAATGCGCGGTATCCGCCCGGCTATTTCCTTAAGCCCTGCTTATGTGGTGTTCCTCCTTACAGTAGTCCGGTCGTCCTCCTGGTTGTATTGTATATCCAACAAACACATAATCATCAGCAGTTGATACGGCAATGAAGGTACGTACCATGGAGTTGTGGTCTCGACCATGGAACCCTGGGGTACACGAACCAGAAAGGCTTTACCCGCTGTCAATGGACATTAGTTTGATGTATTGTCTAGCATCTGGCACGAACCGACGGGGAGCCAGAACAAAGAAAGTTCTGGATACCCGTTCCCCAGTTTAGTGACTGACCCACCATCAGGTCCCATCCATGAAACCATATGATGGCTGCCCAGTTGTGGAGTAATGACTAACATCTACGTACTCAGTAAGTGACTCTTGTGCCTGGCTTTGTTTCCCCCCTTTACTTATCACTATAGAAGGCCCGCAGTAAAATGAACAGTGCTCAATTCTTTCACATCATCATTATGCTTGCTTGATATTGACAAGTGTCACACTAAATATCAAACCAACATGAGCAGACAACACTCCCCAATCTGTGAGCTTACTATGCCTGCCATACCGACCAGACCCTGCGCAACGCTCGGCTATCTGCATATAAGCATCACCTGCTTGTCCTCTGCCACCCCCAAACTATGCGGACAGTGCCAGCGGGCCCCCATCCTCCCGTCCAAGGCTGTTTTCCCCGGGGCTGATTGATTCTACTGAGTACGGAGTACTGAGTAACGTTACCACCATCTTCACATGAGTCTGGGGCCAGAGGCGGAGCCAGGCTAACTTCTTCACGGACCACCAACTACCACTCCTCTGGAGTCGACTGGGTCCTCCTCTGTTTCAGCCACGAACAAGTCCTACTTCCTACTACGTACACACTCCACAGTTTCACACCTCATCAACTAGCCAACCCGCCAACCCGCTGCCAACATTGCGAATGAACCAGTTCTATACAATTTCCGTGCGGAAGACCGGCGCGGAAAAGCGCTTCCAGATGAAAATTTTGCCGTGTGACATTGCCGGGGGAGTAGGAATAAATCCCAGCGTGTGGCTAATTACAGATTAGGTACCCAGGGAAATGTCCTTTTTAGCCCCAGACCCGATCCGACCGAACTAGCCGACCGTTGGAAAGAAAAAGTTTAGGAATGCGCGGTTATTCATCGTCAACTCGGGAGTTGACTCCTTCCCCTCCCCCCTGGTACGTACGTACAGTACTCCGTAAACCTAGACTAAGCCTACGGGAGTGTACCATCAGGGGAGGGGGGCCGGTAGTTGAACTGGACCAGGGGTGGTCAGAGTCAGTCACACACTTTTAGGCAGTTAGACGGGTATTTGGCGGCGGCACCCTGGGGGGTAGTAGTTTGCGGGAGAGACGGACGGCGGAGACGGATGGGTGGATGTTGGTTTATCCATCCACCGAAACCCTCCTCGCTCCCCTTCTCTTTGTTTATGTGTGCCTTGCCTTGGTGCTGGGGTTGATACTATTGAGACTTTCGGAGAAGGGTGGGAAGTCCTTTGTGTTTCAGGTGATTGTTGTTGGAATTCCAGGGGTACTGTCTGTCTGGTTCGGTCGCATGGTTCGATTTGCTTTGTTATTCACGTTGTCAATTTGGATGATGCTTTGATGGATGCATCGACCCTGAGAGATTCCATCGAGTTCGACCAGTAGACAGTCAAGTCTTGATATATACATCTATCATTGTCGACTAAGGCGACAAGATCATGGTCGAATCCAGCAAGGTGCAGCAGAGAAGATCGAATCTAGATTGCTTCGCATATGTACAGTACCCCTGGACAAAAGGACACCCCTCTGACCAGTCGCTTGATCTCTAGGGTTCCCGGCTTCGGATTGCCGGCATGTTGGTGATGGAACACCAAAAAGAAGCAAACCAGGCACCAAAGTACGGGGCTGAACACCAGCCGACAGTACGGAGTACAACAATCTCAAATTCCAGTTCATTGACTGTAGGCACCGTACCTGATTTCTTTGTGATTAATAGATTAAGCGACCGGATGGTTTTCTCTCATTGACAAAGACAGAATGTGCCAGTGGCTGGCCATCACAGTACACTATCCGACGCCATCACCACCATCTATTTCACGATGAATCTTGTCATGTGAGCCCTCACTGGCAGGAACAGTAAAAGTGGCGCGCCACAGTCCCCCCAAACCTCGGCAAAGACACGCAAAACACCTGACTTCGGTCGATTTGGTTTTAGCTTTCGTGCTTTGTTTTCTTTGAGCCTTGACCGACGGACGGGTAAAGGGTTAAAAGCACCCGTGGACGGCTCTAGACTCTCGGGGTTAATTTCCCCGGGAGCATAGATCCCCCAAAATTCCTCCAGTTACATGTCATGGCCTTTTTGGTTATAGAAAGGACGAGCCTGAGGGGCTCGGATAGCTATCGATCACGAATCGTGGCAAATCTGATCCCGATCAATCAGCCTGTCAATCGATGATTGCTAAAGGGGAAGCAAAAGCCTGGGGCCGGGGTAAAACCGCAGTCAAAGTACGGAGCTGAGTTAGAAAAGCACTTGCCGGCGGAAGCAACTGCTTCAGTTCTGGCACTGCACTTGCACCCTCATCCCCCACGGATGGGCGGAAGCGCCTCCCGGCGATCGAACCGCTGCATCGGATTGCCCCACAAACACACAAAAAAACACACACATCTATTCCCCCTTTCCGGCTCCCTCTTTTTTCCCCTTCGATCCATTTTACCACGCTCGGGTGCAGGGATCGTCGTCGCGTTCCCGGTTCGGTAATATTATGAGCTCCCCTCGGGCCCCCTCCGCCCTACTTATCCAACCTCTATTTGGGACTTCGCGTTTGAGACTGATCAACGTTTGACGGGCGAGGAAAAAAAGTCCTCGCCATAGGGACTGGTACGACGGGTAGACCCGCGGAACAGCGGCTACAGTTTCCCGTCCCCAGGAGTCCGGGGAGCAACGCAGATGCGTGACTTGTTTCTAAAGGGGTTCCCCTTCCGTCCTTTGTCTACTGTGTGATCACCGTCATCATGAGTTCGTGGATGGGGGTTACGTCAAGGGAGTGAACGGGGGGGAAAAGGGAAGAGAGGGATGCGACGTCTGTGGCTTGCAGGAGGGGAGATCTAGCTTGAATCAGGTGTCATGCGGTCGACAGATCGATCCTCAATAAAGGATAAGAGAGCACGGAGTACTATGACTGTGACATTCTACTCCATACCTATGATGAGGTATATGGCTGATTCCAATCATGTTTGATGACGACTTCCGCTGTCCATTCCACTGGGGGATGCACATTCCAACCCCGATGGATTACGGAGTACTGCCTCCTACTTTCTCCGCCCAGTGTAGGTACGTATTTAGTGCACATGAACTGCACGCCCACCGCCCACCGCCCACCGTCCCACCGCCTATGTATGCATGCATGTACTGTACCGTATCCATTTTATGTGCATGTACAGTAAGCACACACAGGTATGCTGCCTACCCTCTAGGTACAGTACTTAATCTGTCGATCAGTGTGTATGCTCACTCAATGAAGTACGTGCGAGGGATCAAAGTACTCCAGGCTCCAGAGTGCATTGCTGCCAGATGGCATACAGCACACAGCACACCCACCGGTTAATTGGTACAGTGCATGATACATCTCCACTCTAGTACATCCGCGTTCTGCAAGCCCCTCGACATTCCAGACCTTCTGGTCTTCCCTCCCCGAGTCCGAATGGGATTCCTCACTGGCAACTCCAGCGATCTGACTTTTCCCCAATCGGTTCGATCCATCGCCTGAAATTAATCGATTGGTCGATGGAACCGGCTCAGCGCTTCCTTAACCCATCATCCCGGATAACACCCCCTCCTGCAGTTTGCCCGCACTTCCCCCCGTCCACTCCCGTCCACTCAATCCACACCATCCACACTTCTTCATGCAAGGCATGCCCCTCCAGGCTTACGCGGTGAAGAACTGTGCCACCTCCAGATTGGAAGCAGCCCATGAGCGGTGGGAAAAAGGTACCGCTCCCCCAGAAACGAGGGATAAGGTCCAGCGTGTACCGAATACCTCTTCGCAAGCAGTGTCCACCACTGCCAGGACATGTACAGAGTACGGGGATACCTCCGTACCTCATCCCCCTTCCATCCCTCCCCCTCCATCCCGCAAAGGCGGTGCGCCGCCTCTGCAGGGACTCAGCAGAAAAGCCGTTTGTTTCCCAAGGTTCCAAGCTCCGATTTACCCCTCTCTCCGAAGAAGCGGTGATTCACCGCTTCGTCGAGTATTAGCCCTGGTGCTGCCATGCTACAGTGTAGTACTTGAAATAGGTACGTTTGAGAAAAGGCGGTAGGCAGGCTTTGCCAATCTATCCACAACAGACTGTGTGTTCTCTTGAGAACCGTGCGCTTCGACGTGATGCATCGCATCATTTTCGCCCTTTCGTTTGTTGGAGACAGACCTTCCCTCGTTGCCTGACAAAACAAAAAAAAAAGCTCGGGACTTTTGTTTACGTGTGCACACTGGCCAGAGCTTCTCGGACCGAGGGAAGTGGAAGAAGAAGACACATCTATAGAATGCAGATGGAACATCGGGGGGATGAGGAATCATGGGTCGCCGGGTCTGAATGGGGACTGACTCCTCATGAAGATTGTCGATGCATATCATATTCTATTAGCAGTAACTACTAGCTGCTTCACCAGCCACAACCACGACCCCATCCGGCCAACCCACGGCTTTGTCCGGAGGTACAGTACCAGCACGGAGTAGCTCACAGAGAACGGAGAACGGAGTACAGGGAGTGCGTACCCCACAGAAGCCTGTCTCTTTGGGAATACGCAGCATGGGATGGAGCACGCAGCAGCATACACATACCACCCACCCTTTGGGAGCGACCGGGGCACACGGGAAAGGTATGCGTGCGCGGTGCCGTGCGGACGGACCCCCAAGAATAAGGTATCAACTAGGTCTTCCATCCCTCGCAGCGGATTCTGTTCCGCCGGAGGTAGAGGGGTGGGGGGGGGGGCGGGGCGGTTCGAGATCCCCCAGCCCAGGCCCGGGTACCGGGGGACCCAGCCCGGCGGGTGGTGGGTGGAGTGGAGCGGTGGAGCAGTGGGGACGGACGGTGGTCATGAGCACTAAAAAGCACTACTACACCAAAAGTAATCGCGCGGA